ATGTAGAATATGGTTTATTATAAAATTTAATAAACATTTTCTGATTTTAATAAATATTTTAAAAAATACTAACTAGTTAATATTTTATTACTTGAAAAATATTTTATGTTTTATATTATAAAGTAATTAATTTATTCTTTTGTTTTTATATTTTGTTAATTCTTTTTATAATTATTTTATTTGAAATATTAATATACTGTATTATATTAATATAATATACTAATATATTATATTTTTAATATACATTAGTCAACATCCTGTCGACATTAGTCGACATAATAGGAAAAACTGTATTTTTTTTGGTTATTTGGACTGATTTGGTTGACATTTCCAAAATATAGGAAATGTCGACCGACATAATGTAATTTTTATATTACCATCCATTTTCATGTTGGTGAGCCTCGACATCGACATATGTCGGGCGACATTAGCGACATTTGGCGACATTTGAAACCATGCCAGAATCAGATCTGGGCCCCGGCCTGGTTCATGATCACCCCTCCGTAGATGGTTATAGAATAATATAAAATCATCTCAAGAAAAGTGATGGGATTTGAACCCCATATGGGGTTCTTATTTCCTATTCTGCTTCTTTGAACTTGTAGCAATGTCAACATGTTTTCATCAATTTATCATGTTGGTTCAATTTTTATGTAGGGTTTAAGAATGATAAACCTTTCACTATCTATGATAATCTTTTTGATTTTGACATAACTTACCTAGAGATTTGCATTCTGTCTGCAAGGTTTATGTTAGACTGTTAGTGCCATCCATTAAAGAAGTAAGATCTTAAAGTGATTAAGCATCAGATGTTACAGTTCTAAATCAATCATGTCTCTTCACTCACTGCTATATTGTAAATGCTCATGAAGAATATCCTGGTTTACTCTTTTTGACACCTTTCTTCCTAAGTTTTCTATATTTTTTGGTATATGATAGGCTCTGTTTTTTTTTTTTTTTTTTTTAATATATATGGTAGACTGTTTTGATTACTATAGTTTCTGACTTTCTGTAAGTTACCGTACCTTGTTTTCTTAAAATATTCTAGTGCATTTTTGCTACTGTTCAGAACTAGAACTTACATCTTTTTTGCTTTTGGTAACAGATCACTGGAGCTTGACAAGGTTGAATTTTTAGTTGGGAATGTTATAAACGCTATTGTTAGCCAAGTTATGTTCCTTCTAAGGGAAAGGAGCGTGCAATTAATTCGGGATATCCCAGAAGAAATTAAAATATTAGCTGTTTATGGTGATCAAGTGAGAATTCAGCAGATCTTGGCTGATTTTTTGTTGAATATGGTCCGATATGCACCAACTCCGGAAGGCTGGGTAGAAATTCATGTTTGGCCTCGTTTGGGTCAGAGTTCAGATGGAAGAGAGCTTGTGCAGCTTGAATTCAGGTTGGCTTGCATTGTACCTTTTCCTGTTTCATTATATATTAGGCACTTGATAATTATCTGCATTCTTTATTTCTAAAACTGTGATGGATACATTTATTGGATAAAATCTATATAAACTCTTGTATGCAATCATCATCATCATCATCCAAGCCCAGTCCCAACTATATGGGGTTGGGCACATGAATCCTGTTTTTTTTGATAAATGAGTGAAATTTTATTAAACCAGCAAATAAGAGTTACATGCAACCCGTGGAAAGGCACGAGATGCGACCTTTCCTTTAAAACTAATTACAGAATTATCCTCCTCCTAAAGAAACTATTGCAGCTGTAAATAATGTCTCTATTAGAGGAAGAGGGTGCTACCCTCCCTTCATTATATGAATTGATGCAAGAACCAAGTATGATGTGCTTCTGTGATTCTTCTGAGGATGAGACAAATTGGCAAACTGTAGTCAATGAGGCAAAGGGGGCAGTCAAGCCCATACAAATTACACTCCAATTCTCTGGGCATTAAATTTCAGGGACGAAGAGCCTCCACAAAGAACAATAAGAAGAAAAATAAGAGGAGATTTAAGAAAAAAGTTCAAGTTGATTTTGAAGAAGAGTATGAACAACCTCCAAGGTTTCCAGTCACACTGAAAGAGTACATCCCAAAAGAAAGCTTGGGAGAAAGTTACGATGAATTGGAAGTAGCACCATGTTATGTGGCTTCATGCAAAGAAAATGAAGAAAGAAAAGAAAATGAGGTGGATCAATTTACTTTGCAATATAGCCGAAAACACAAGAAAGAAAAGAATATAGATGGTTCTATCTCCAGAGTAGAAAATGAAGAGCCAGGAGAGAAAAAAGGAGTCAGAGTTGACTCAACAAGTTCAACAAGACAAGGAGGAAGACCATAGATTAGAGAATCTAATCAGGGTCCGACCTCAAGTTCAGAAGGCATTGCGAGAAACAAAATTGCACATTGAATATGACATTCTTGCCCATCTAAAGCGCATTCCTGGATTATTAAGTGTTTATGACGCTCTCCAGCTTTCTCCAGAATTGAGAAAGGCATTAATTCAGGCATTGCTTAATCCTGAACAATTCAAAGATGAAGTCAATCAAATTGAAGTACAACCAAAGTCCCCAAAGGTTTGTGCTTCATGTATGGCATGCATATCTTTTGATGATGAAGACTTACAGCTTGGGACGGAATATCACAACCGCCCTTTGTATGTATTAGGAATAATTGGTGATACTCCCATCAATAGAGTTCTCTTAGATTGTGGATCTGCCGTTAACCTTTTACCCTTGAAAACTTTATTGGTTACGAGTATGACACCTCGCCAATTATCCCCTTCATGTTTGACCATTCAAGGGTTTAATCAAGAGGGGCAGAAGGCAATGGGTACCATTGCTCTGAAGATTGAAATTGGGGAGTTATATTCTGATGCTTTGTTTCATGTCATTGATGCAAATACTTCGTATAATGTCCTTTTAGGATGTCCATGGTTGCACACATACGGAGTTGTCCCATCAACACTTCATCAATGCTTTAAGTTTAGCAAAGATGGAGAGGTAAAAAAAGTGGTTGCAGATATGAATCCATTCCAAGGAGAAGTACATTATGCGGATGCTAAATTTTATAAATTTGCTAATTTTCATTCTTCCCCTTCTTCAAAGAAAGAAATTAAAGAGAATGTTGAAAGTAGTCTTCAAGAATGCAAAGAACCATCAGCTTCAAAAATCAAGATTGTTGTATCATTGCACAGGAAGTCAAAGGGAAACAAAAACCCTAAGTTGACTCAAAACCTAAAGCTACCTTTAGGTACATTCCAAAAAGCCAAAGGAAATTGGGGCAAAAGGCTCTTACTTCATTGTAAGAGACTACAATGGCGACACTGATGACAAGTTATACTTGGCCACTTAGGAAGATTGACCAATCCATCCCATACACTCAATTTATTGTGTCAACTTCCCTCCCAAAGAATGGAAGAAAGAATAAAAAGGTTAGTTCTCCAAAAGTTCAAGCCATTGAGTCACTACCATAATCCTACATGTAGTGATGCAGAATCGACCTCAGCAATCCCTATGTTCACACAACGTGAAAAGGCTATTTTCAGCCAAGAGGAGATAAAGCCACGGGTCTCTGTGTTCAAACGACTTAGAGGTTTGAAGAATATACAGAAAAATGAAAAGAAACGAGTCTCTATTTTCAAGAGACTTGTAATTCCAAACCAAAAGGTCAACAAGGTTGTGAAAAAGAAAGAGCAACCCAACATTATCATTAAAAAGCTAGAAGATGGTGGAGAATTCAAAATAGAGGTCAATTACATCTCCACCAAAGAGCATGAATCCTCATTGGAGGATCAAGGTATGAACCCTATCCAGGATTCTAATACTTCAATGGCGCTTCAAGGTACAAACCTTAATTGTAATAATTTGCAACAGGTAATGCCTCAAGAGGATATCCCTCAATCAATTAATCTTCTCCATGAAGATGAAAAAATAGAAGAAGTCAAAGAGGCTCAACCTGCACCGTCAAAGCTTGAAGATGGAGGTCAAGCAACAGTAGATGACCTTCAAGAAATCAACCTCGGATGTGTTGAAGACCCCAAGCCTATCTTTGTTAGTGCTCTACTTACTAGGGAAGAGCTAATAATGTATGAATCCTTACTAAAAGAATACAAAGATGTTTTTGCTTGGGGATATAAAGGCATGCCGGGATTGGATCCTAAAATAGCTGTACATAGATTAGCTATTCCTAAGGATAAACGTCCTGTAAAACAAGCTCAACGTCACTTTAGACCAGAGCTCACTGTACAAATTGAATATGAGGTTGATAAATTGATAAGTGCTGGTTTTATCAGGGAAGTTCAATGTCTTACATGGCTTGCTAATATTGTTCCTGTTAAAAAGAAAAATGGACAAGTCCGCATCTGCATAGATTTTAGAGATCTTAATGATGCATGTCCAAAAGATGAATTTCCACTACCTATTACAGAATTGCTAGTGGATGCTACTACCAGATTTGAAGCATTGTCCTTGATGGACAGTTTTTCAGGTTATAACCAAATTAAAATGGCTCTAGAGATGAAGAGCTAACTGCTTTTTGAACTCCAAAAGGGATATTTTGCTACACTGTTATGCCCTTTGGCTTGAAAAATGCTAGAGCTACATACCAGCGAGCCATTACAGTCATATTCAGTGATATGCTCCACAACACTGTGGAATGTTATGTTGACGATTTAGTGGTGAAAACTAAGAAAAGAGAACACCACTTAGATGATCTCAAAAGAGTTTTCGACAGACTTCGAAAACACCAACTTAAAACGAACCCCTTAAAGTGTGCATTTGGGGTAACTTCTGGAAAATTCCTTGGATTTATTGTCTGACATCGAGGGATTGAAATTGACCCTATAAAAATCAAGGCAATCTTAGAAATGCCTCCTTCCTGAAATTTGCGAGAATTACGCAGCTTACAAGGGAGACTTGCTTATATAAGGAGATTCATCTCCAACTTGTCTGGTAGATGCCAACCTTTCTTTAAGTTGATGAGGAAGGATGCACCTTTTATATGGGATGAAGCATGTCAAAATGCTTTCCAAAGCATAAAAAAATATTTGTTAAACCCACCAGTGCTTGCCGCACCAATAAAAGGGAAGCCATTGATATTATATATTTCAGCTTCACCAAATTCTCTGAGGGGCATTGTTAGCTCAAAATAATGATAAAGGAAGGGAAAATTCCCTTTTTTATCTGAGTAGAACCTTAGTTGGGGTTGAACACAATTATTCTTCAATTGAAAAGATGTGCTTAGCTTTAGTATTTGCTGTCCAAAAGTTACGACTTTATTTGCTTGTCCCCTCAAATATTTGCTCTCTCGGCCAGTTCTAACGGGTAGACTAGCAAAATGGTCACTTATTTGATCTGAGTTCGAGATAAAATATGTTCCTTTAAAAGCAATAAAAGGGCAAGCTTTAGCTGACTTCTTAGCAGCTCATCCTGTGCCAGATGACACTGAGCTTTCAGAAGACCTTCTAGATGAAAGGGTCTTATACATAGAAACTGAAAGACCATGGCAACTCTATTTCGATGGAGCTTCTTCAAAACAAGGCGTTGGAGCAGGGATTGTGTTCATCACTCCCACGGGAGATTTAATTCCATATTCTTTCTCCCTCACATCATTATGCTCAAACAATACAGCCGAGTATGAAGCAGTCATTATCGGTTTAGAAATGGCTCGGGAGATGAATATTAAATATTTACAAGTCTTTGGAGATTCCAAATTGGTGGTTAACCAATTAAATGAATTGTATGGGGTTAAAAAATTAAGTTTAATCCCTTACTTTAACAGAGCTAGAGAGCTGATATCTCAATTCAGCAGCATACAAGTGAGCCACATTCCAAGATCAGAAAATGAGAAGGCTGATGCTTTAGCTAAGTTGGCTGCATCTCTTAGTTTACCTGAACAAAGACAACTTTAGATTATAGTCGGTGAGAGACATGTTCTGCCCCCCATAAATGAAAGAGTTTGAGAAACTGAGTTTGTGAACTTTGTCACAATTCAGTTGGAAGAAGAAGCCTCAGATTGGAGAATGCCCATAATTAATTATCTACAATATAGGCTCATCCCGATAGATCCTAGAAGGAGTACTGATGTGCTACACCAAGCTGAACATTACAAATATATAAATGGCATTTTATATAGAAAATCTATTAATGGAATTCTACTTAAGTGTCGTTCCAGAACTGAAGTCCAACAAGCTCTCCGCGAAATACACGCAGAAGAGTGTGATGTATATCAGAATGTCCCTGAAATGGTAGGACATTTAGAAGAATTGGGCTATTTTTGGCCCACTGTTATTTTAGATGCTATCTGCATCTTAAGGAATTGTATTAACTACTAAAATCTAAGGGGTATGTTACCAGAAGCTGTCAATGTTAACATGGTCACAGTGTACCAAATTGAAGAAGAAACAGATTGGAGACAACCCATTATTGATTATTTACAATAT